CACTAGCCAGGCCTGGGAGCCTGGGATCAGGGAGAGCTAAAGACCAGAGACTGATGGGGTAAGGGAAGACCTACAGGGAGAAGGGAGGACAGCTTAGGGAAATAGGAGGGGCAGTAGAAAGAGAAAGCTAGAAAGTAAAAAACTGACATTCAGCCGAGAAGAAAGGGAGTGTCGGCTACCCACTCATTCCAACTGTCCTCTTATTCCTTTAAAGAGTTTGCAGAACACCTACCTCTTTGGAACACGCTTTCAGTTGCCTGCAATTTGTCCTTCCTTCCTTCCTTAACTCATTCATCCCTGCAGGCAGTGGATCAACATGGCCTGAACGTCTAGCTGACTAGAGTGAACAGTCGATGGAAGGTATGATATTGATGGTAGCTAATAATTTCTGTTTGGGGGAACTCCACTTTGGGAGAGAGACAAATGGCACTCACACCAAGGCTGATGCTGCCACTTCAGGCAGGGCTGGGGCCATGACTGTGCTGCCCAGATGTCCCCTTACCATCTTACTCAGCTGGGAAATGTCCATTTGGGTTCAACAGGGTGTAATTCAAACACTGGCCCTGCAGACCTCGTGCCAGGAGGAGCTGCAGATTCACGTGGTCTGGGGGCAGCAGAACATGGAAGATGGATGTTGGACTTGGAGGCATGCGTGTGGGTAGGAAAACTCTAGGATATCCATGTGTGGCTGTACCAGTGCCCTGTGTGAGGAGTGGGTGGGACCCAGCTCAGAATAGGGACAATGTTGGATCTTTATAGAAACCCAGAAGGAGATGAAGTGTGAAGTGAAGTGAAAGTCGCTCAGTCGTGTCCATCTCTTCGCGACCCCATGGACTATACAGTCCATGGAATTCTCCAGGCCAGAATACTGCAGTAGGTAGCCTTTCCCTTCTCCAGGGATCTTCCCAGCCCAGCGATTGAACCCAGGTCTTCCGCATCACAGGCGGATTCTTTACCAGCTGAGCCTGCAGGGAAGCCCAAGAATACCAAAGTGGGTAGCTTATCTCTTCTCCAGCAGATCTTCCAGACCCAGGAATAGAACTGGGGTCTCCTGCATTGCAGGTGGATCCTTTTTACCAACTGAGCTATGAGGGAAGCCCAAAGGAGATGGAAGCTACTAACTCAGTGTGTGTGTGTGTTAGTCACTCAGTCGTGTCTGGCACGGTGACCCCACAGACTGCAGCCCGCCAGGCTCCTCTGTCCATGGAATTCTCCAGGCAGGAATACTGGAGTGGGTTGCCATTCCCTTCTCCAGGGGATCTTCCTGACCCAGGGATCAAACCTGAGTCTTCTGCATTGCAGGCAGATTCTTGACTGTCTGAGCTACTGGGGACGCCAGAGGTCTCAGTGAACATTCTTCTCATATTAACATTGCACAGAAAGCAAGGGAAAGAGAGAGGAGGAAAGAGAAAAGTGAGAGAGAAGGTATGAGTGCAGGAGGGTGGATGAAGAGCAGAGAGGCCTTTGAAAGTGCTGCCAGGGCAGGGGCTGGAGGGAGGCCGGGGCACCACTGCCCACCTGCGCGTGGGGCTGGGAGAGGCCACAGGGAGGCCCCAGGCTTACACAGCAGGGGCACAGCGGCCCAACAGGCCAGAGCGTGTCAGGGCGGCGTCGACAACACTGAGGGGAAACAGGGGTGTCTGCCAATGAAATGACTTGATAACTGGGATTTTCTTCAAAATAATCAGGGAATCGATGCATGTTAAAGCTAAGCGCTGTGTACACAGGGGGCTGCTATGCAAGTATCTCTATTTCCATTATGTGTGAAATACACAGTTTATAAGAATAAACAAAAAATCTTTAAAAAAAATAGGAATCAGTGAAGGAATCACACACTGCAGGTAGAATATAGCCGACCCTCCATATCCACGGAGGAAGAACCCACAAAAGCAGAGGCCCGACTGTCCTGGGCCATTTTGAGCATCCACAGACTTTGCTTATCTGTGGGGGTCGGGGAACCCATGCCCTGAAGATTCCAAAGGATGACTGTACTACCAGAGGGACAGAAACCGTAGAATATAAGCAGAAATGAATGAGAACCATGTCTTGGGTTTTCTTAAATAACACTGCAAATCAGGGGTTCTTAACCAGGGGGTGACGGATGGGCTGTGGGACCCCTGAACTCCCTGTAATCATGTGCAAAGTGATCCAAGAGTTTGCAGCAACTTTTCAAGGAACCTCTGGTGCCCCCCATACCGCCCCCCCAATCCTGCAGAGGCTAATACATTACCTTCCCTCTTAAATGTGCGGTGGGTGGTTTTAAATAAAGGTTTACTTTCTAGAACTGGCATATTCACACCTGGGCCCTGTGTTTGCATCTCTCTTCTCAGTTAGCCATGCCTGGAACAGAGCAAAAGAGGCCAACCCACTGCACAGACAGCTCCTTGGGGATAGTTCCCTGAGGCCCCACTGCTCCTGAGCCAGAGCACTGGAGGGGGGGGGGTACACTGTGCCGGAGAGAAGGGGACACAGCAGGGAAGGGCTGGGGAGGCCGGTGGGGCTCCCTGGGGTCTGAGAGAGTGACAGGAGGCAGTGTGGTTGAAGCTCTCATCCTCTGGCAAGCACAGCGGCTTTCAGCTGCAAATGTCCAACAGAAAGCATGGTTTTGAATAGTCTGAGGCTCAAAATCCAGAGAATTTCGTAGAAAATACCTTTCTGTTCCTCACAGGGTTGCGTAACTCCCAGTGTGACATCTACCCCTCGTGGTGAATTCCTCCAAGAAGTCCAGCTCCCTAGAGGCTCCCCAGAACTGGCAGGTTAAGTGTGGGTTATTTCAGAGGACAGGGAGGGTTTCAGCTTAGAACCATCTCCACGCTGAAGTTAAGGCTTGAAGAACTGCCCCAGGTCCCGAGGAGTGAAGGCCCTTTCTCCCCAGGCTAGCATCTCCCCAGGCTAGCGTGGGACGCAAGGGAGAGGACCCTGCCTGGGGACTGAGGTGCGGGGCAAGGAGGGAGGCAGGGCCAGGTGCTGCTCCCCACCACTGCCTCCCCACAGAGGACGGGGAGCTGAAGCCATTCCCCACCTCTCACAGGAGGGCACAGACAGAGCGACAGACCTGTGCCTGCCAGGACTCCCGTCATCTCCCCATCCCATCACATACGAGGAGGAGATGGGAGACCCTTGGTGGGGCCTCCCTATTCCTAGACAGGTCTGCAAGGCTAGAGGCTGGGCCCTGGGGACAAGATGGACTAGCGAGAGAGGGCTGTCCCAGGACGGAGTGTGATGAAGGCTCACATTCCAGGCTGTTGTGCACCTGGGGTCTCACCTCAGGAGGACATGCTCCCTCCCTCCTACTTCCCCTCCCCCAGGCCCGGGAACCTCCCCCCACCCCATACCTTCCTGCAAGCCTCCTGTGTAGACATCTCCCTGCCTCCCTCTCATGATACAGAGATGGCAGCACTCCAGGCTCCTCCCACCAGAGCCCCATCTCTGCGGATCACCTAGAACCTCAGTCTTCTCCACCCAGAGAAATGTCAGGGCAGTGGAAGGTGCAAGACCAAGAACAAAATGCCCCATGGCAAGTCTGGGGTGCGTGGGATTGTGTCTTCCCCTCCTTTACTGTAGGTCCTGCCTCCAGTCTCCTTCCTTAGCCCCTCAGAGCACATCCCCCCACCCCAACTCAAGGTGTTCTCGTTGTCCTCCTTCCTGCTGGGTGTGGGCCCTGTGGCCAATCCTACAAGGGAAGCCAGGAATGGGCATGTGGTGGAGACTTTCAGAGGTGCACACCAGTAAAGAGAGACTTTTCTAGAAGGTCCAGGCAGCAGACTGACTCCATGCAGGGAAGAACCAAAGCTACTTCCAGTGGGCCAGCCCAAGGGCACAGACACAGCTGGCCAGACTCCAGGAACCACAGACCACCATGGAAGAGCCTTTTTTTTTTTTAAACTGTGCTTTATTTAGGGCTAAGCTGGAGAAAGCGTCATCCAATAGTTACAGAAGGTTACAAGGAGCTTTAGGGAGTTGAGTGTGAAAAGAGCAGTTGTACTGAACTGCAGCTGTTTTTTTTTTTTTTTTACAACATCTGGACATCCTAAAAAGAAGGAGCCAAGAGAAAGAAAAATAAAATTTTACAAAATAATAATTAACCAACAAAATAGAAAGAAAGGAAAGGCAGAAGGCCTGAGAGGAACCAGATAGATGTTCTAAAGCAGGAAATTAAAAAACATGGTAGGTTCAAGGGCCTCCCCACCAGGCCTCCAGATAACTAGAGGTCAGTGAGGAGGATGTCAAGGCAGAAGGTCAAAGCAAGTCTTCCCAACGGTGCAAATAAATTATAATAAATATGTTATACTTTAAAATATATGTGTTCTTAAATAATTCAGTGTTTTTTTCTGATTCTGAGTTTTTTTAAGCAATGTCTTTTTTAACTGCTCTAAAGTCATTTACCAAAGATAAATATCGTGCTTTCATTAAATAGTTTTCCTTGTTTTTTTCTCTATCATTACAATTAAAAGTCCTACAAAATATGCAAATTTATTTACAGAAAAACAGAGCCGGCATCATTTAAACATCCCTGTTTTTCAAAATTCCTTGTAAACAGTTTCAGAAATTCTTCAAAGATTGTTTTTTTTTTTTTTTTTCTCTCTCTTGTTAAGGTTTTTGTGTGTGTGTGTGTTGTTTAGTTGTTTTAAGATGAAAGTTCCCAGGTCTCCCTTGCCCGGAAAGTCTCTGGAGCAAGCATGGAAGGCGAGTGAAGCGGAGGTGTCCAGGGCTTGCGCGGAGCGGGCGAGCACGCGCAGCTCCCGGAGCGAAGCGAGGCGGGGGTGGCGGCGGCGGCGGGCCTTCCTGCCAGCGGCGCGGCCTCCACCGGCGGTGGGCAAGCCCGAGGCCCACGGTTCTGGGCGGGTCCGGCCTGGCCCTCGGGGTCAACGGCGTCCAACAGCACTCGCGGGGAGAAGGGATTGATGCTCAGTCTAAACTCTACAAAAGTACAGTCCTACAACATCTGGGATTTTAGCAATAACGCTAACTTCTATAGGATTTTTTTTTCTTTTTTTTTCTTTTTTGCTTTCCTCTAATTTTTCTTCTATTATATAGGTATTTTAAACTTCTCCTTTTTAAAATTCTGTACAACTATTATGATTTTAAGAGGGGGGGAAGTTAGAAGCATTTACAGACTTTTCACAACAATTATCTTGCCTTGTCAGTCCCCTTTGTTCCCCTCGTTTTCTCACACTTCACAGTTAACGAGTTTTCGTATTTTGTTGCTTTCCCCAAATATCCACCAATTTGTTCATCTTAACAGCTCCATCCTGACATATAATACAGAAAACCGTAGGAAAGTGTCATAGACTTGAATGAGGGTAATCAAAGCGCCTCTCAAAGTATCAAAGAACTATTATCTTGCTGTTTTAAAAGCATTGAAGCATTATTTTTCCTTTTTTAAATTTTTTTGGTTTTTTGTGTTTTTTTTGTTTTTTTTTTTTTTTGTTTTTTTTTAATTACATTTTTTCATAGAATCGCTCTAAGCTGTTTCAAGAACAGCCATGAGACAGGAAGGAGGTTTTCCTCCATCCCCCCTCTATTTGACCTAGAGCTACACATCTGCAATAAAAAGTTTGGTCCTTTGGTCCCTAAATAGCTAAAGGAATGACAGATAGAGATGCTCAGTGGCGACCTCCCAGCCGCCCCCCTGGGGACCAGGCCCCGTCAGCCACACCGCTTGCCCCAGCCTGCCTCAGGCGCCCACGGGCTGGAAAAGCCCCGGGGATCGGGACGCAGCGGCCCTTCCCAGTTCCCAGCCCTGCAGTCTCCCCACCTTGTCTCAAGTTATTTTGTTTTAAAGTTGCCTTTTTTGTTTTGTTTTGTTTTTTCTTCTCATTTTTCTTCATCTTCTTCTTCTCTTTGTCATATATATATATTTTCCCCCAAACACGTGCCCTCTGAACTCCATAGACGCTATACTTTCCTTGAAGAAATGTGACAGTCACAGAGAGTGTCTGGAGTCTTCAGCTTGATTGATATTGGCTGATATGTCAAAGGTGTCATCCAACAGTTCTCATTTATAAATATATATAGAGAGAGGTTTGTTTTTTAATGTAGCCCGTTCAGCATCCTGCCCTAAAATGAAGAAAATCGGGGCTGATTAAGCCAAGAGAGGAAATGCAAAATACATCCAAACACCAAAAGGAACCTGCCTTGGGGGGTTAGGGTGGGAGCTCTGGGTGGGGGATGGCGGGAGGGAGGGAAGAGACCAGTATGAGAATTAGTCATGATCATGATACGTAAAAAAAGAAATTGACTCTTGTATTCAGAGTAAGAAACCACTGGGAGGGCTATAGGTGATGGCTGTAGCAGAGGAGAGGGTTTTTGATTTGGGTTCCTTTAGAGTTCTGGATTGGGGGATGGCTAGATCTAAGGGAAGAATTTGTGACTGTGGGGTATGAATTCATCATTAAACTGACCTCTGAGGGATCTAGCCCAGATACAATATGTATACAGAAGCCTAGCAAACAAGATGGCAAAAATCTAGCGGCCCAGCCCGCTCCTCCCCACGATCTGTGACGTGAATTTTGTAGAACTCTTGCCCAGTTTCCAAGCGAATCGCCTCTTTTCCAAGGTCAGTAACTATTTGCGAGGCTATGTATATATATGTATATCTGGATATATGTGTAGAATATATTCACCTGCACATATGTGGATATACATGGATACGTGTGTATGTATATGCATAGATACACACATACACACACACGGAATGTTTTTCTCATACATGCCAGGGAATTTAGAGGAAAGTCAACACTTTGAGGAAGTGGATGGGAGAACCTAAAAGAAGTTAGAACGGATTTAATCATCAAAGTTAAATTAACTCAGACAATTCTCGATTTTGTTTTGAATGGTGGCTTTTTGGTGTTTTGTTTTGCATTTCAAAGAAAAAAAAATCATGATCTGACTAGAATCAGAAGGAGAATGCTTAACCATTGTGAATTAACAAATGAAACTCGTCTCCATTCTAGCAAGCAGCTTCCACTTATACATGGGGGTGACTGGTTACATCAAGAGAGTTAGAACTGCAAAGCCCCCAGTTGAGGGGACAACGTCATGCGTATATCAATCCATGCTGGCAGGTTTTTCACACTGTTGATTCAACAAACAGCAAACCGTACACAGCAATCTAAACAATTACAACACCAAATAAAATAATAATAAAATTAAAAAACACTTGTCAAGGACCCTTTTTCAGTTGTAAACAAAAAAGTGCATTTTGCTTTTGTCAGTACTGTTTTTTCAAACCAACCAAAAAGCCCTCCCCAAGCCCCAGGTCCCCCACCTCCCCTCCGCACATTTAATTTAGCAGAAGTAGCTACAATACAAACCTTACAATTGTGACCGGGCTCTCTCTCAGAGGCCTCGGGCTTTAAGCTCTAGTTTTTTGGTTTAGAATTTTTTTTTTTATCATTCTGTTACTGTAGAGATTTTGTTTTTGTTTTTCCTTTTGAAGTGAGATTTAAAATAGCCTAACTTGAAAAAGACCAGACCTAGAAAGTGTCAATTGAAAAAGGCCCCCAAATTTCTAGAAAAAAATAAAATCACAATATTTTCAAGTGCAAGTAAATCAACCACGCATAGATACTTTTAAGGTGTATTCCTTATTTTTAAGAAAAAAAAATAATGGTTTGCACAGTTAAATGATCCCATGTCCGATAATTCGGGAATTCATCTTTATTTTTACTATTTTTTTTTTTTGTTCTTTTTTTTTTTCTCTATGTGACATCTAGAGAAGCATAAAAAACGCTGAACAAGAAAAACCAAACAACAGAAAGTAAAACCACTGCAAGCACCAAGAACGAAACGAAAATGAGCACAGCAAAAAAGATTGTGGCAGCACAAAAGTCAAGAAAATGCACGTGTGATCATGACTGGCCAATCATCAACTGATACAACATCCAAGAAAAACGCTCCAATCACAGCACCTCCACGAAACTTGACGGCAATTGTCATGCAACCGATTCTTAGCCTTGTTACATGACGCCATCATGTCACACTGTGAACTTTGAGTTGATTTGAACTTACGGATGGGGGACTGTTTTCTCCACTCTCATGTGATTACGTGAACTTTATTCCTAGCTCAGCGCGAGACTGTGGTGGATTTGACTGGCCCTGGTTGGGTTGTTGGAATTTGATTGAATGACAAAAGAAGAAAAGATTTATATATATATTTATATATGTAGAGAGAGAGAGAAAGAGAGAGAGGACAAGAGTGTGGGTAAGGGGGGGGGAGGAGGAGGAAGGGTGGGTGGGGTCGGGGATTGTGGGGAGCAGGGTGGGGGGACAGGGAGAGTCGGGTTGAGGGTGAAGACGGGCAAGGAAGAAGTTAAAACAAAATTAAAAGGAAAAATATTTATACAGCACCAGACCACAGCATCAATCTAAAAGCTCGGATGAGAGAACAGCAGTCAAATCATAAGAGAACGGAAAAAAACCCAAAAGGATGGAGGAAGCGGCAGACGAACGACATGGGCACGTCAACACGCACACGCACGCACGCACGCACACGCACACACGGTTGCTGATGCAGACAGGTGATACACTGTGAACAACAGCAGAACCTCACACAGGGCCACTACGGGCATCCGTCATGCTCCGGGGAACAGGAGGGAGGGCGTAGGCAGTTTGGCGAGGGGGCCAGAAAAAAAGGAAACAGCCCCTCAAACCACCTTGGCGGGCGAGCAGGTCAGGGGGACACGCTGTCTGCTTTGACCCCCTCCTTGATTCTTTCTCTCGCCCCCAGGGGCCGAGCGCGACTCGCCTCCCCAGCCTTCCTGGCTGCAGCCTGTGGTCAGCAAGGGGAGCCTGACCGGGTGGCTCCCATTTGCCGGGTGGGTCAGAGGCTGCCTAAGGCGACCGCTGTGTCTGGGGGTCCGTCCAGCAAACACTCGGCTGCCCGGGACGTTCCACACCCACGGCCGCCCGGACTCCCACCCTGTCCCGGCCCGCGGTGGCCACCATCCCCAGGGAAGGGCGTCCCACTAAGAGCACCGGGAAGCTGCGGGAGGCCACGGGCCAGCCCCCCGCCGCTCGGCCTTGACCCTCGGTCCTTAGAGCCTTCAGAGAACCAGCACTCTCAGTGGTGAGATTTAGAGTCCATCACGGCAGTGTTCTCGGAATTCTACAAACACGCCCTGGCATGACTGATGTCGTGTTTCACGGCTGCCTTACTCTGCTTTGCTCCCAAGGGGGCCCAAAGCGAGGCGGGGTCCCGGTCATGAGGGAGGCTAGGGCGCCCTGGAGGGTCGGTTGCAGGGAAAAGGAGAGTCCACTGGAGAAGGGCAGCTATGGGCCTGGCTCCCTGCCGGTCTCTGCTGCTGCCACCGTGCTCTCTGCTTCCTCCCCACCCCCGCCTCCCCCTTCTCGGCTCCTTCACACCCCACATCCCCCCGACTGATGACTTTCTGGACTGACCCTCCTCACTGTCTTCTTTACTGATGGAGCCCTAACTGGTGCAAGCTGAGATCCCCCTCTCGGTGAAGCACCATCCAGTTATTCCAATTTGCGTTGTCTTGAACACGCTTCATTCACCATTTGGGGTCCTCTGTCCCCACCCAGGGCCCTGGGGGTCCCCGGCCCCATCCCTCCTCCTGGTTACCCCCGAGCTCACCCCCCAGCCCCTGGTCCCCTGCAGCACCCCGGCCTGTGCCAAGCCTGTGCATCAGGCTGGTCTCCAACGTCCCCGGCTTCCACCCGCAGCGGCTCCTGCTCTCAGCTTTGGGTTTCCCTCAGGCTGTGTGGAAGGGAAGCCTGAGACTGTGACATGTCGCTGTGGATAAGATGCAACATAGCTGAGAGGTGACAATTCTAAGCCTAAATCTGGCCCCCGGCTCTGCCTTCTCTGAGGAGCCCAGGCCTCTCTGCCGGCCAGCCGGCTCTTCCTGCAGCAGATCCCCCTCCCCGAGACCAGGGCCCACCACGGCCCGCCTGCAGCCCCAGCCCCTCCACAAGGAAAACCCGCAGACCCACCACCCACGAGAGCCAACTGGCAGGCTGGTGGGGTGGGAGAAGAGGCCTCAGAACTGAGGGGCGGGGGAGGGGGGGGGACTCCCTAGTTGTCCCATGGTTTGGACTCCGCGCTTTCACTGCCCAGGGCCCAGGTTCAATCCCCGGTGGGGGAACTAAGATAGAAGCCACGCGGCACAGAGGCACCAGGTGTCACCACGCAAGTGTAACTAAGGGGCGCCCAGGGACTCCCACCCAGTCCTGGGACGCCCACTCCTCCCCGCCCCGCTGGGCTCCTTCTCTGGCAGCCAGCTTGCCTCCAGCCTCCCTTCAGTGCCTGCCTCTGGCCGACGCTGGGGATTCCACACAGCCCCTCCCCAAAGCTCTCACACACACTTGGCCCCAGCACGTAAACACACTCTCACACTTAGCCTAAGGAGGCTCCCCCGGGTTCTGCCGGCTGGCCACTCCCTTCATGTGGGAACAGCGGCCCCTCTGCTCGCCGTGACCCCTGCCTGGCCGCCCCCTGGAACAGCCTCTCCGGGCCCAGCCGTAGACGTGGCAGCAGGGTCACTGACCAGCGTGGGGAACTTGAATCAGGCCTGGGAAGCACACCCCCCACCCCCACCCCATGACCTGGGTGAGGAAGTTATGGTCAAGTTGAGCCAATTTAGATGCCAGGTTCTAATCACAGCTGGCCTCTGGCCAGAGAAGGCTCAGGCCCAAAACCACAGCCCAGCACCAGGCAGGTCTGACCTGAAGCACCCGTACCTGCAAAGCTTGGAGCAGACGCTGTGCAAAAGCACACTCAGATCCAAGCCCAGGGTCCAGAAACACAGGGCAGGGCTCCCAGGATCCAGAGACACGGGGCTCCCAGGATCCAAAGACACGGGGCTCCCAGAGACACAGGGCTCCCAGGATCCAGAGACACAGGGCTCCCAGGGTCCAGAGACACGGGGCTCCCAGGGTCCAGAGACACAGGGCTCCCACGGGGTCAGACCCGCCACTCAGCACATTCTCCCCCTCAGCTCTCCCCCTGCAGAACTGCACAGCCAGGCACCTGCCCTCAGCTCAAGCTCAGCGTGCTCCAAGGTGGGACAAGGGACTTGGGTGTCTTCCTGGACCTGATATCATGTTCATGCTTCTGCCTGTTTCCTTCCTCTTAGTTTTCCAGTAAAGATTTCTTGGAGAAACTCCCATCTTAGCACAAGATAAGGGGCAGGGGCTGCAAGGATGCCAGGAACCCACCTAACAGGAGGCACAGACTGCATCCTACCCAGGCCTCGTTTCAGGGAACCAGAGCCCAACCACACTTCCCTGCCCGAAGCTGCCCTCCCAGGGCCCCTCTCCTTCCCTAGAACCCCCTCACCCCAGTTCTGATTTGACCACCTCTAAGCCTCTGTCTTAACTACTGGCTCGGAGATCCCCCTCCCCAGACCTCTTCACGCCTAGCCATGTCCCCTGAGCCCCTGATCAGCTGACCTCTGTCCTTCTGAGCAACCGGAACTCATCATCTGTAAACATCCCTTGTTGGTCTGTAAAATCATGCAACTTTAAGCTGCTTTTATAGCTGTTTCCTCCCTCCCTTGCTGGCAGCAGCCACTTCCTACTGCAGTCCCCGAGTCTGGCCCTTAGCTTGCACCTGCCTTCGGTTACAGCCTCTAACAGTCCTGGGCTGGGAAAGCCTGAATGCACCATTTGTTAAAATCCCGTGAATGCAGCCAAAAGGTCAACTTGAATGTAGGACTTACATGTTGTTTAGTCGCTAAGTCATGTCCAACCCTTTTGCGACCCATGGACTACTGTCTGCCAGTCTCCTCTGTCCATGGGATTTCCCAGGCAAGAATGATGGAGTGGGTTGCCATATCCTCCTCTAGAGGATCTTCCCGCCCCAGGGATCGAACTCACATCTCCTGCATTGGCAGGCAGATTCTTTACCACTGAGCCGCCAGGGAAGCATAAGGGGTATGTGACATCACAGTGTTTGCAGGGGACTGCCTAGTGAAGGCGTAGTCGGTCAGAGGGCTGACCCTAGAGAAAGGAGATGTTGTGATGTGTTCCCTCTGGTAGTCAGGAAACTCTGGGGTAGGAGAGAGTGGGGCGAGGATACAGGGGGGTTTATCATTCTCCCTACTTGAAGGAAGGGGTTAAGCAGCCTCCCGCCAAATCATGACTCAACCACTCAGTAGCTGATTGGCAAGTGACTTAATCTGTGTGTGCTCCAACTGTAAAACAGGAATAACAACACTGCCTACCTTATAGGCAGCGACAAGTATACAGTTATGTCTCAGAGTTGCCACCTACAAGAACAAAGCCTCGTGCATGGTGAGCATAGTGGGAAAACCTGCGGTTCTCATCTTTCCTGGCTTTTGTATTCCCTGGTGGAAGAACCACTCTGCTTTTTAAACTGTCCCCTCAAGTCCCCGCCGCAATTACTACGGCTAACTGGTTCTACCCTGAAGGCCACTTCTTACCTTCTGTCCCAAACAAATCCGCCTCCCTCACCCCTTCCTCTGACCGAGATGTCCCCTCCTTTCTTGGGTCTTACTTGCATCGAGGTCTACAAGGCTAAGACAGGCTGCTGTCGAGGGAGCCACAGAATCCCAGGGCATGAACCCCCAGCATGCCCCCACCTGAAAGCTCCTCTGATGGCTCCAGCACCTGGGTTTCATCACTGGAGAAATGGAAGCCCAAGAGGGGAAGCACCTTGACCCAGGTCATGCCCTGATGGCAGAGTTAACCTATGGAAGAAAACGTGCTCCATGTCACGAAAGGGCACTTCCACTGCACTGATCCTCCCTCCTCTGGAAACGTGCCCTCTGCACCATCTGCTGGCTGCCATAGAGCTAGAAGCTCCACGCGGGCAGGATGGTGATATGAATCTCTGCCTCCCGTTAACTAAGCACAGGAAAGTGCCCACACTGAATGGACGAGTGTGTGTGTGTGCACGCACACATTTGTGTGCGTGTGTGCGCGCCCGCACGCGTGTGCTCATGTGCATTTCATGCAGACCAGAGATGGGCAGGGGCCGGAATTCAGGAAGCAAGGAACGCAGACTTTGCTTTTCCAGCCTTGCTGTGAATAGAGGCTCAAGAAACCTCTTGGAGAGAAGGTGAGTATGACTGCTCCCAGGTGGACAAAAGGGGTCCTACTGGCAGTGCGGGGATCTGAGAGGAGACTGGGAAACTGGAGCCCTCCCTCCCAGACTCCAGACTCTGACCCTTCACTGGGAGGTGTAACTGTCACGTGACTGACCTTTCTCCATCTCAGGTCACAACTACTCTGCCCTTGCAGCCCCTCCGGCCAGAAATCCAAGCGCCGTCCTAACCCTCTTTTTCTCACACCCCCTTGAATTCCTTCCGAACAGCACCAGCTCCTTCACAGCACCTCGAGTGACTGCCATCCCCCTGGACTGAGTGGTCCAGGCACTAGACCTCTGCTTGTGGCCCCACGGTCTATCAACACAGAAGCCAGCGATCCTACTCAAATGCAAGTCACCCACAGCCCTCTGCCCTGCAGAGCTCTCCAGTGGCTCCCTTAGCCCTTCATTTCAGCGGAGATGCTCAAGTCCATACAGTGGACTGGGTTCCTACACGAGGTGGCCCTCCTCACCCCTGGGATCTCCTTTTCTGCTCTCCCAGCCCCCAACCTGCCATAGCTCTCCATCATCTCGGCCTACTGCTGGTCCTTGCACCCACCACCTTGCCCTCACCTTGGAGCCTGTATACCATACCCCTCTGAACCCTGGCATGGCTCCCTGCCTTCCCTTCTTCAAATCTCTGCTCAAATATCACTTTCCCAGCTAGGTCTAGTCTGACTACCTGATTTAACTGTAACCAACAATTTCAAAACCCTATACAATTTACTCTTTGATTGTATGTCCTTGTTTGATATCTGCCTCCTTTGCTAAGGACAAGGATTCTGATCAGTATCACTCATGCTGAGCACCTAACAGTAGCTGACGCACAGAACTGTGGAAGCGGCAGAGGGCTGGCAGCCTGGTCCTGGCCCGGGAACAAGCTGGGATGGCAGGAGGGCACAGCAGTGGGGGAAGCCAGGCTGGGGGTGAACTCTTGATGACCAGGCACCCCCCCCACCACCCCACCCTGCCCCAGGAAGCTGCTTCATCCACGGGAGTATGTGGCCTGGAGGAGGAGTGGCCTGATGGTGCCTCCAGCTTTAAGGCAGGACTCAGAAAGCTGGGAAAAGTGACACCTGTCCACTCATCACGGGCTCTGAGAAGGGGGCAGGGTAAGTGGCCCCAGTCCCGTACATACAGTCACCCTCCTCAGCCTCTGTCCCCTCTTTTTATTTTTTGTTAAAGTTCTCTTTGAAAAGTCCTGTTCCCTCCTCTCCAGACTGAGCTGTGGGGAACTGGAGGGGTGAGGTGTCAAGTGTTGACAGGCCTCCAGAGCTAGAGAGTGGAGAGCCAGGGAGCCTGGGAGAAGGCCCCAGCAGCACATGTCTACAGCTCCCCACCACAAAGCCTAAGTCGCCCAAACTCACCTAGCCCTGAGCTTGCCATCGGCTCACCCCAGGATTTCCTGGCAAACAAGATTGCCAGTGTAGACCTTCTCAAAGCAGTTCCCTCCCTCCTGGCCCCTCTTGGCTCTGCAGCAGGGGGCTGGACATGCCCATTTCTGCCTGGGATGACCACAGCTCTGCGCCTGCCCCCTGGGGAGCAGGTCGAGCCGGGCGCAGCGGGTCCAAGGCACAACGAGGGTCCTGGCAACAGAGGCCAGAGGAGGCGGCGGGTCCGTCCGGTGTCAACCTCCCCAACCTCCCCCGTCCCCGCGCCCCGGCCGATCCCGGTTACCTGTGCGAGTCCTGGTCTCCCCCGGGGGACGCTCCCGCTGGCGCTCAGTACGGGCGATTGGCGTCTTTGGGCCGCTTCAGCTGCACCTTGAGCCTCTTCATGCCGATCTGGAAGCCGTTCATGGCCTGGATGGCGGTCTGCGCGCTGGCCGGGTTGTCGAAGCTCACGAAGCCTAGCGAGACACGAGGGACGAGGGCCTGGGTTTCCACGGGGCCGCCCCTGCCGGGAGGGGGCGGGAAGGGGAGTGGGAGAAGGGCGGGCGCCGAGGGCCGGGGGCGGGGGCGAGAGGAAGCCCCGCCCACTCCCCCGCCCAGCCTCCGGGGCGGGGCTAGAGGCTCCGCCCTTCTCGGCCCCCGCCCCCCGGCCCCGGCCCCGCACCCCTCCCCCACAGCCCTCGTGCACGCGGCCACTTCCGGGGCCCGCGCTGAGGAGGCTCCCGGCTCCCTGTCCCGCGCGGGCCCAGGCGGGCCGCCCCCTCTCCGCCTCGGCTCTCGGCGGCGCCGCTGTCCCGGGCGCCCTCTCCCCCACCCCGGTCGGCCCCGGCACCTCAGCCCCCGCCTGCGGTGGGAGAGGGCGGACACACCTGCGGGCGGAGGAGTTTATTGGACACTGTCCTCCCTGACAGGAGGGGGCCTGGCAGCGGGAGGGCACGGGGGGCCGGCCTGGGGAGAGAGAGGAGTGCGAGGGGAGGGAGGGGAGGCGCCCCGGAGCGAACGTCGCCGCCGCCGATCCCGGCCGCCCCCGTGGCGAGCGCCGCCGGCCGCGGGCCGGGGCCGAGGCGGGGTCCCCGCCGCCCCTCCGCCCGCTCCATCCAGGCCGAGGCCCCCCCAGCCAGGCTCCGGGTAGCCACCCGGCTCAGTCCACACTGGCTCGCGTGAAACGCCACCTCGCTCCCAGAGGCCGGTCGCACCACCCTTTATGTTTAGTAGAGCTCCATCCTGGGAGCAGCGGCTCTTGCCCTGGACTAAGCACGCGCCCACTGACGCGTCCCCTGTGAACCACTCATAGCACTGATAATGATGTAACAGTAATAGTACAAATTGACACTATTAGCGAAAGTTCGCTGAGAGCCTTCTCCGTGTACTTCAGGCTGCAGAAGTGCTTGTCACATGTTCACTCCTCCCAACATCCCAGGACAAGGATATAGAACCATTCATGGCTCCCAGTCACCTGAAGCAAGCAGTTCCCAGGTGGGACTGGATTAGGTTCCCAAAGTTGACACCTTTTGGAACTTCAAATGCATCTCCTATTTATAGACTACACTACATCAGCATTTCCCAAAACGGCTCTAAACGGTGCTCCTTGAGAAAGGACTTTATGTGGTCAGGTGGGTTTACAGCCAGGTCACTCTGGAACAGTTCCTGGCACATTAACCAACAAAAACATCCCCCTCCCATCCCAACTTCTCTCTTCTTTATGGCTTTTTTTAAAACCTTGTATTTTCTGGAATTAATTTGACTTTGGAGGCCTTTTCTCTAGTAAAATGGACTTAGACCCTGCAAATATGAAACTAGGCTTGGCAAAGTTTCCTGGCCATCCTGCAAATGTGCCTCATTTGGGGCGTTTGTCCCCAAATGGCCATTAGATATATAAGGGATAGATGTACAGACCCCGCCGAGGTAGAAAGCTGTTTCTTGGTTAACTATCTGCGGTCCCACGGTCCTGCCTGAGACCCCTTCCTCAGTCTCCCCTTGTGGTTACCCTTTCTCCCCTTAACCTCCACCCGGACACTACCTCTTCTGGCCTCTTTTCTCTTTCTCCCTCCTGCATTTCTGCACATTTTCTCTTGCAACCATGCATCATCAAAGACAGGGGAGGGATGTATGCAGGTACATGTGAGTGTACTCGAAGAGGGCTAGCATGTGAGCTCAGATGAGACTGGTCACAGCTGGGCCCAGGGCAACATATCCAACATCTGTATTCATCTATACACCTAAATACACAGAAAGGATTTCGGATTATCCGTAGTTAGAAATCAGTGTGAGTCATCTTTACACCTCCCCCTCTCATGCCCTCCTGGCCCATCCCTTCCCCACAAAACTACAGTCAAGCTGTCAGCAGAGCAGTTTTCAAATGTGTGAATGGTGCATCTGTTACATCGCTCTCTTTTTAGGCAAGCTAAAAGCCTCCCTTCCTACCAGGACAAGATAACCTAACTGTTGGTGACAGCTCCCTCCCCGCCCCCCCAAAAAACAAACAAATATGGGCGAAGTAGGAAAGAGAAGGAACAAAGATAAAAAGGGCTGGAGATGCTGTGTAGGGTGAAGGTGTAAAAGGAGGGAGAGAAGTTCTGGGAGGAGGCAAGAAGCCCAGCTTCAGGTTGAGTATTAGAAGCCTGGGGGTTGGGAAGGGTTCCAGGCTCAAGGAACTTTTCTTTCTGAATGTTCTTAACTGGCTAGCAGTCAGGGCAGGGACTCCCCGCTGGCCCCCTCGGCAAGGCTCTGGGCACCATCTCCCATGTACTTGGTTTTCAGGGCTGTGTCCTGTCTCCTAGAGCCCTCTGCCCCATTCCTCCCACCCCTGAGAAGGCGCCCGCCTCCCAGACCGTGAAGGCTGTGCAGGCAGGATGCCCTCCTGGCGGCCCTCCAGCCCGTCCTCCAACGCAAAAACCATTTGTGAGGCTCACGAAGGCCTCCAAAAGATTCTGTTTATGGCCATAAAGAGCAAGGGAAGACTCTGAGGAGTTCATTTTCACAGGGGACCACGTGTGGAGCAACTTAGCCCTTTTAGGGGGAATAAAAGGGGCCCTAGCACCTCCTGAAGGCCCACTCTGACTAGGTCCCTCACATGGAATGTCTTGTGTAATGTTCACAGCATCATTGAGAGCTGACCCCTGAAATCCCCACTCCACAAATGCGGACACTGACCCAGAGAGTAAGCGCGCCCGTGAGTGCGTGCTGCGGAGTCGCACAGGCTGGGCTGCCAGAGCAAGGGAGGGAACCCAAGAGACTGAAGGAGGAGCCACTGGGCCGGCCCGCTGGGCGGGATCCTGGCCTTTCTCAAGGCTGCTGGATGTTCAGTGCTATATGTTTGTTCAGGAAGAGAGAAAGAACCAGAGCAGAGGTATACGGGGGAGGACGTCCAGAAAAAGTAGGGCAAGTCTTTTGCTGGAGAACTTGAATGAGCTAACGACAAGGATAATCTGGGGTTGACTGGAGGGAGCGGCACAGCATAGATGCCAAGGGAAAAGGCTGCAGACTGAGCCTGCTCCAGCCTGGGTACCCAGCAAGTCTGGGCTCTTTGCAGTTTTCTTCTGACTTATGGAACATCTGAGGCTTACTTAGAGACCAAATGCACCTGCCAGTCTGCTGTTTTTACATACGTAACTGTAATTTGTCAGAAGAAACACCAAACAGTGGAGGGGTGCACCCCGGTCTTTTCCTTTGGCTTTGTTCTCCCATCCCCCAGAGAAATGAGCTGCTGGGCAACTCTATGCCTCTAAAGTACCATGGATTTTTAGTGGCAGCTGCTAGAAGGGGACACTGTGCAAAGATCTTGACTGCCTTGGGGAGCATCATTTCCACCCCGAAGCCTTCCATGGACCTGGAGAACTGATCTCCAAACTGGAATCTCCTTAACACGTGCTTTCCGGCACTTCTGCACTTTTGTGCCTTTTCCCCTCCCCCATCCCCAAGAGGGGACTCAGGTTCCCTGGTCAAATAAGGATCCTATTCTGTCCTCATAGCCCCTGAATTTGGGGGTCATCCTGGAGGTGCTGGGCTGACTCAACTCTGGTTCCACATGTGGCTGTCTGAGGACCAGAATCCTCAATTCTGGGGGACTCAGGAGTAGATCAGACCTGAGAAAGCAGCTCTCATGGAGGCAGAAGAGGTGGGAGAGGAGCCGTGGTGGAGTGGAGAGGAGAGGTGTGGGGATGAGATGGGTTTCCAGGAGGTCTGAAGCAAACTAAAACTTGGGAAGCCCAGCTGAACTGGAATTTCAGATAAGCAATAAATACTTTTTTAGTATGTCTCCAATATTGCATGGGACACATTGCACATAATATTTGGGACATGTGTGTGTGTTAGTCACTCAGTCATGTCCGACTCTGTGACCTCACGGACTGTAGCCCACCAGGCTCCTCTGTCCGTGGAATTCTCCAGGCAAGAATATTAGAGTGGGTTACCATTCCCCTCGGTAGGGGCTCTTCCCAACCCAGGGACTGAACCTGGGTCTGCCACCTTGCAGGCAGATTCTTTACCTTCTGAACCACCAGGGAAGACCCATTTGGGACATATGTATACTAAAAATGTATCTGTTACTTATCCAAAATGCCAATTTAACTAGGTATCTTGTGTTTTATCTGACAATCATACTCTTAGATCTTCCCAAGTCCTTTGTCTCCCATCTAACACTCTGTTCAGGAGAATTTCCCAAAGGTATCTTCACCCCGTTACTCCCTCATCTTCCACTGCCTACAGTACCATATGAAGCATCTTCACCTGAATGATTGAAACCCTCCCCGGCACAGACTTGCCCTCACAGCTGGTCTCCCCTGAACCTTCCTGTCTCCCCAAAGCCTCCAGCTTCCTCGTTCACTAGCCTCTGACTCTCCTCATCCCAGCCCCCATATGCTCATCCATTCTATTTCCCCCTGCTTGGAATTCCCTCCCCTTCTGTCTGCTTGCATCCACCTGCCTGTCTCATTCCTCCATTAGTTGGTGCCTGGCAGATCTCACTGCCATTGAATAGATATGATTTTCATCTAAGCTCAGACCTGAGGCTTCCTGAGGGCATGGACCAGTTTCCTCTTCCTGATTCCTCGACAGTTTCGCTCTGGTGGCCTGAGGGGTAGGGGTTCGGGGAAGACGGTGCATTGGATGGCAAGAAGGGAGCAAAGAGCAGGGTTAGACAGAGAAGGGGGGCAGGCGCAGGACAGAAAGATGGACAGAGAAGGCCAAGGGGCCAGTGGGGTAGAGACTTCAGTCGGGTGAACCCCCCCACCCCAAGGATCATGCTCAGCTTTGACCCCCAGGGCCACTGTAGACTTGAGAGGAGAAGGGTGCTGGGAGAATGGCTGTTGTGAGGCTCTGCTCCCTGCCCCTCCTCCTCCTGCCCAAGACGGGTCCCTTCCCGTCTCAGTTGGTGGGAACTGAGCTTTGGGGCTGGGAGAGGAGGCTCTCCCTTGGACTGGGGGTGGTGGGTAGGAGACTGGATGGGAGTGGGCAGGGAAAGCCAAGAAACCAAAGAACGGAAGAGAGAAAAGGGTGAGAGATGGAGGCTGGAGGCTGGGCACAGGAGCACTTGGGAGTGGGGGTGCGGCGATGTGAAGAAGCATGTTAAAAGCAGTTGGACACCGGTAAATTGGTGCGAACACCACCCTGTCCTAGGTGAAGTTGGTTTGTTATCTTTACCCACCAAAGCATTTACTTTGGTTAGTCGCCCGATCCACAAACACTTTCGAGGAGATGACATTACCGAAAGGGAGGAACATCTGCATCAGCTCAGCGTCCCCAAACTCCTGGGGCAGATGGTAGATGAACAGGTTACAGCCCTCGGGCCCTGCGGTGGGGGGGGGAGGGGGTCGGGGGAGGAGGGATGGCGGGGTGGGGGAAGAGAGAGACAGAGGAGAGGTGAGCGAGTTAGGCAGCGGCAGCAGGGAGGGGTAGGGGCGAGGTTAGGAGGGGGGTCTCATCCAAGGTCCAAAAGCGGCCACGGAAAAGTGGGGAGCTGTTGAGCCCGGGTCTGAGCTCTGGTCTCCACTCTGCCCTCGAGCAAGTCTCTGAACCTCTCTGTGCCTCAATGGTCTTTTCTGCATCACAGGGTGCCTGGCAACTCTAGGACTCCAGGGGTGTAGGCAACAAGTAAATGGGGTCAAAGTGCCTGATTAGTCTTGGAGGAGAGATGCTGAGGAGAGGCAGTGGGTAGGGAGACCTGCCAAGCACCTCCCCAACAGGGGAGGATGGAGGGAAGTGCTGGGGGCAGCCCTGTCTCTGCAAGCCTCACTCCCCATTTTCCCCCAGCCAAAGGCAGGACTCTGGGGCCTGGAATGCCCATCCTTTGTCCTGGCCTGCAGCCACTCTTTCCCACTTGATTCCCAAAGGCCTTACCCTCCGCTGCTCTGAACCTTAAAGTCAGCCCTAATCTTGAAGGTGGAAACCAAGATTTATCCCACCTGCTGCAGCAAGCCAGGTGAGCAGAAAGGGCTTCATAGAAAGGTTTCGTGATGGGATACCCATAAGCAAGGGTACCACCAGCTTCATCATATAAAAGACTCCCCGTTTCAACAATAAGAGCCCTGCCACTTCTGTAGTGCTAACTGCATGCCGGGCTGCTCTGTACACTTTATGTATATGTTAATTCACTTAATCCTTACAGCTGCCTTGAGGCTACTGTCATCCCCACTTCACAGATAAGAAAGCTGAGGCCAGAGAGGTTAAGTCACCTGCCAAGTCACGTAGCTAGAAGGTGATGGAACCAGGATATGAACCCAGACCCAGGCTGTCTGTCTCCATGATCTGCGTCCTCCTCTCTCTCTACTTCCCTATCATAAATTTCAGTGCCCCAGAAATCCTGAATCCTCTTGGACTCCAGATAGCTAAATTTCCATATAGCTAAAGATTTGCATGTTTCTTTTAAAATAAATTTATTTTTTTATAAAAATTAAAACATACTGGCAGTTTCTTTCAAAATTAATTATGAATTTGATGGGGGAGTATGTAATTTCCTCGTTTCTGTCTCACTGCAGCAAAAATTTGAAGTGACAGATGGAAGAGTGTTACAGCTCAGTTACAGCTCAGTTTACGTGTTTCTTTTTAAATGACCAAAAGGCTGAGTTTTAGCTCTTTGAATGAGAAATCTCTCCAAGCTGCTTCCTCTTTTTCTTGCATCTAAAATAAAGTGTGCCACATAAAACTTGACCTTTTAAACTGTGTGTGTGTGCTCAGTTGCTAAGTCGTGTCCCATTCTTTGTGACCCCATGGACTGCAGCCCACCAGGCTTCTCTGTCCATGGGATTCTCCAGGCAAGAATACTGGAGTGGGTTGCCATTTCCTACTCCAGGGGATCTTCCTGACCCAGGGATGGAACCCATGTCTGCTGCATTGCAGGTTGATTCTTTACCACTGAGCCACCTGCAAAGACTAACTACTTCTGACATACTTCTGACTTCTATTTTTACATCTTCCATCTATTTCTGTGCCCTTGAGGGTCATAGCTGATAGCTAAGAGTCCTCTGACCACCAAAGCCTCCCTGTGAACCAATGAGCTCCTCGGCCCTGGTCCCTGCCCCACACCATCTGCCCATCCCTACTCTCTGGCCTCCACTCCCTGGACGGCGCTTTCAGAACAGGTGCAAGCGAGCTCCCTCACCCACTGCCAGGGGTCCCGGTGCAGAATTCCTCAAGCCCTGGTGGCCCTTCCTCCCCACCACACCCACCTCCCTTCCCCTCCAACCATGGCATGTTTTCACTGGTTCATACCCTGTGGATGTGTCCCTTGATAGTTCCCAGCTAGATGTGAGTCCCCACAGCTCTGGGGCTCCCACAGCCCATATTCTGGGCAATACTGAGGCTCTTTCTCCAGTAGGTCTGGGAAGATTTCTCTCCAGCCAGAAGGGGGCGCTTTCTAGGGGGCAGGAGCATTTGCCTTCCCCATACTCCTACTCTGCTCTCCCTGCACTCTGACACCCACCTTGAACTTGGGGGCCTCCCTACAAGCTCAAGTCCTGCAAGCTGCTTGGATGTTATTTCTGTTCTCCTTAAAAGAGACGAGGAGCCTCGAGGGGCAGAGCCTCTGCATTCAGTCCCCTCAGCATTGTGTGGCTGAGCCCCACAGGGCCAGCTCTCCCAGTCCCAGGCTAGCCCCCTGCCCCCTCGCCCCCAACAGTGGGCCTATACATTGTCATTCTCGGGCTACCCTGGAGCCCTCAGTGCATTCCCTAATTCCCAGATTATCAAGCATCCAGATGGCACAACCATAGGACTTTGGATATCAATCTGGTACAACCCAGCCTTCGAAGAAAAGAGAAATGGAGCTCCAGAGACAGAAAGTGATGGGCCTGGAGTGCACCATGTCCCCTGGCACAACAACCCAGGTGGTCTGGGGCAGGCACCCTCAGGGGCTTCAGGCATCTGTTCTCAGGGTCAACTCAAAAGATAAGGGAGCTGGAAGGTGGTTCCTGCCCAGCAGCCAGCATGTCCTGGTATTTCAATGGCATTGACACAAGTGGTGGTGACCAGGTGGAAAGAGGCTAACCACTGGCATGCCTGGAGGAACACAGCCTTCTTGTTCATGCCTCATGCAAAACTGGACATGGCTTTGGTCTGGCTCCATCCCGCTCCATTTCCAGGCTCACCTCATACTTGGCAGCACCCATGCCTTGCTTTGCTCCTGCTGTTCTCCCTGCCTTGGATACCCATCTCCCCATCTCCAAATCTGAAGACTTCAGGACCCCAAAGAATTCCCCAAAGACCCCACTCCCAGCACCGTGAGCTCACCCCTATATGCAGTGTACCTCTCTAAAGATCTAGGTTCACATCTCACCCCTCCCCCTTCCCTGCTCCCCCAGGGTACCCAAGTCAGGGAGGATGGGGACAACAGTGGGAGGCCCCCCTGCCCGAGGGGAGGCCAGAGTGGGGACTGGTGTTGCCAGAGTGGCGACACAGGGTCTGGTCTAGGGAGCAAGGCATGGGGGTGGGAGGGCCTGAAGCTGCTCTGAGATGGAGAGAAGGTACATGGAAGAGTTCAGAGCTAGATGCATGGGCTGGTACAAAGTGTGAGGTAGCAGGTAGGACAGGGAGCAGATGAAGGGGATGGGTTTATGCCAGTGGTAGGGGCTGTCCTGTGTGTTGGGGTAAGCAGCACTGATCTGCAGGTGTGTGTGTGTGTGTGTGTGTGTGTGTAGAGACCTCTGAGCCACAGGCCAGAGTGATGCAGGGCACTGACTACAAGGTAAGGGTGGGTCAGCCTGACGTCACAGTGGTGACAAAAGCAGTAAGGGCCCTTGGGCACAGTTCTGGGCCTGAGATGGGCAAAGCTGGACCCCACCACTTGTGACTCTGATCTGACTGATGTGGTGCTGGAAGGCACGGACTGGAGGGAGGAGGGCAGGGCAGGCTCCAGGGCCACAGCCCAGGGAGGGGACCTGCTGGAAGAGGCAGGCTGATGTCCTATCCCCCACCCCCACTTCACTGATGGGCTCAGGTGTGACTTGGAGCTGCAGCAGCACGTGGCTGCAGGAGCGAGCAGGGGGCCTCGCTGTGCACCCAGCTGGGTTCCTGTGGCTTGATCTTCACGGGCCCTGGGAAGATGGTGACACAGGTCTCGGGAGCAGCCCCCTGCACGTGAAATGAGAGAATGCCTCACGTACAACTTTGGAGGGGGTGACCAACTGGTGAGAGAAGGGAAGTATGAACAGTGAGAAATCAGCAAGTCACTGCTGGAGACTGGAGACAGTCTTGAGCTAGGTGATCCTCACACCCCTCTAGGGAGTGACTGCCACTGTCCTCATTCTACAGGTGAGGACGCCAAGGCTGAGAGAGGAGAGGCCAAGCTAGGACTCGAACCTAGAAGGGTTTGCTTCAAAGACCAGGCTCTCAGCTGTCCAGGCTCTGGGGCCTGTTTGGGACCACAGAGCTTTGGACTAACAGCCCCTAGGTCGTTTCCAGGACTAGCCCACCTCCCATAGCTCTGGGACCGTCTGCTGCAAGGATTACGAGCCAGCGATCTGGAAACCACTGGACCTTTCTGGCCATGTGGGCTACTGGAGTGGGTGTGGTGGCCTCACTGGCAGAGTGACCCTTTTCACGTGGTGGGAGACAGGACCCCATCAAACTGGTCTCTGTGAGCATCTCCGAGCTTGGACTTGTTATCCAGTCCCCATGGGGCTGCAGACTCTGCAATGGGAAGACTCTTAGGGTCTCTAGGAGGTTCCAGCATCTGAGGCCCATTGGCCTGCTGCCCTGCTCACAGCAGGGCCTCAAAGGCAGCTTTCTGGGATCCCCTTATTTTGCTAGGCCTACACCGGAGCACCCCATCCCCTCACCTACCCTTGGATCCTGCCCTGGGAGCTCCAGGTGGGCTCTCCTGCTCACGGAGAGGGCACAGCTTCTGTCCTAGATGGAACTGGTCTCCCCACTCCTGCCACCACCCCAGCCATAAACATCCCTATGTCTCCCCTTCCTCTCCGCTGGACAAACACTGCCCATTGTGGGAGGGGCGACTCCTGGACCCTACCTCCTCCAGGCCCCCACCGTCCTTACCTCCCTCCAGTGGGGTTTGCAGAGTTGCCTGTGACATGCACCTCCGCTCCACCTCTCACAGTCCCGCAACCCCCCTCACCCTCGGCACAACACAGATGTGGTCACCGTGCCAACAGAACACCACCGCCAAAGGCCTGGGGGAGCAGCCTCTTTGGGGGGAGAAGGGGGAGGGGCATAGGAGCCCCGCTGGCAGACTCACCTTCTCTCTGTTGCTGGGGGATCATTGGAGGTGGCTGAGGAAAGGCCTGGCTTATCTGACCATAGGCAGCAGGGTAGGCGGCTGCTGGAGGACCCAAGGGAAGAGGCAAGAGCAAGAGACGGTGACAGTGACACGAAGAGAGACAGGGTGAGAGGCAGGAAGAAAGAGAGAAGTTTCAGTGGTGAGCAGTCAAAGCAGACCAGTGAAAAAAATACACTTTTAACATAAAGTCGGTTCTTAGCAGTAATGAAGAAGAAGCAGTAAAGGGAAGACTAGAAGTTGCATACATGCACTGGTGTGTGTGCATGTGTGTGTGCATGCCGGTGTATGCATGTGTGTGTGTGCATGTGTGCGTGTGTGCCAGTGTGTGCATGTGCGCGCGCATGTGTGTGTGCATGCTGGTGTATGAATGTGTGTGTGCATGTGCGTACACATGTGTGTGCATGTCAGTGTGTGCATGTGTGTGTGCATGCCGGTGTATGCGTGTGTGTGTGCGTGCCGGTGTATGCATGTGTGTGTGCATGCCGGTATATGCATGTGTGTGTATGCATGTATGTGTGCATGCCAGTGTATGCATGTGTGTGTGCATGCCGGTGTATGCATGTGTGTGCGCGTGCCAGTGTATGCATGTGTGTGTGCATGCCGATGTATGCATGTGTGTGTGTGCATGCTGGTGTATGCATGTGTGTGTGCTCACCCGTGCTCAGATGGCACCTGTGTGGGAGGTGGGGAGTCACCCTAGGTGTGAGCTTGGCCTCTGGGATCCTGCCAGTGGCTGGTTCCCCAGGGGCTGAGGACTGAATTGAACAAATCTGATGCTTTCTTATTCAAATGGAAAAAGGGTCAGAGAAGGCACAGGACTGGATAGACCCTCCTCAGCCTGGCCTGGCTCCAGAAGGGGTTCGGGGGGCTCGGCAGGTGAGGAAGAGAGCTTCCCCTGGACTCTAGGTGACAGCCAGCTCATGTGAACCCCCATATACCAGGCAGCCCCGTTACCCTCCGGGGAGACACTGCCAGCTCATCTGAACACAACAAGTAGGAACCCTGATGGGGCCAGACAGCAGGACCCTGGTTGGCAGAGATGATTGTGGGGTGTGTGTGTGTTTGCACACATGTGTGTGTTATCCAGCCCAGAGGCAGGATAGAAGCTTAGCTGACAGCTGACCTTGGGCTTCCCACAGTAGCTCATCACCTCCCCATTCAGTGACCCGAGGCCACCTGCCCACTTCCCCTTTTTTCTACCTCTGGCGGCCTGTCCTCCGTGTTCCCTGTTTTCCTCGCTCGGGCCCCACTCCTGTTGCCTGTGTGTGGCTGAGAGTTGGGGGGAATGGAAGCTGCTCTCCTTCAAACAGGCATCTGTGCTTTCTGGGCCAGTGGCCCCCCCAGCTCCAGTCTCATGCGGTGCTGCTGGGAGGCTGGTGCCCCTGGACAGACCCACCCTGGCAGCACCATGGGGGCGGGACATCTGGCCTCAGAGATGCCGCTTCACAGCAAGACTAAAGCTTAGCCCAGCTCACCAGCTCAAATGGGGTTCTGACCCCCTGCCACTGCCAGGATGAATGAGGGTGAGGTAATCTGAGCCTGATCACCAAAGGACGCCTGCAGAGAGCGAGGCAGCCTGGTGGAGGGACCACAGCTCCCTGTCAGCCCCTCCCCACTCCCCCGAACCCCCACACTGCTAAGCCCAGGCTTGGGTGGGGCGGGGCAACAGTGCCCAGGCACAGGGAGGTGCCCGCAGCCGGGGACCACCGTGGGGACCACCGTGGGGACGCGTGGATACTAACGACCTGCATACTGCTGCACTCCGGCGTAGGCCTGCTGCAGGGGGTCCGCGGCCGTGGGGCTCTGCGCTGCAGGGGAGCCAAAGGGCAGAGGTCAGCAATGCCTGCTCAAACCAGCCCCTCCCCCGCCACGCCCCTGGAGATACCGCTGCGGCCACACTGCCTTCCCGGCCACTGTGGTCCCTGTCCTGGGGCATCTGAGGTAGGCTCCCTGAATGGCTGGGAGGGGGCGGCCCTTTCCCCAGCCTGGGCCCTCAGGAGGGTGGTGGGCTGCTCCCCCTGGGTGGGGGCTGCAGGCTGCCGCTTTAGGGGACAGCAGAGGGTTTGGGAGGCTCATGCAGAAGGCTGGGGAGGGCGGGGAAGGAGACAACAGAGGGGCCTTGACCATGAGGGGCTGGGTGGGGGGACACCTGAGGGATGTGGTCCTGGAGAAGGCCTGTGTGAGAGCAGGCAAGGGGGCCAGAGGCTGTTAGGAGGGTGGTCTCCTCCTCACTTATCCCTAGTCCCCAGCGGAACTGGGGGGCAGAACCTGAAAGAGCATGGAGGCCTCATCCTGCCATTCTCTCTGGACCACCCACGCCTGCTCAAATAGAGGGACCCCCTCCCAAATTCTTTAGGAGTTTGCATGAGGCACACAGGCCTTCCATTCCCAGGCATGCCCGTGGTAGGACCGACCACACAAATGAGATCTGCCCCACGGTGCCCACAGACATCAGGGAACCAGAAGACCAAGGGCCTTATCACACCAGGCTGCCGCTTTAGGGGGCAGCAGAGGGTTTGGGAGGCTCATGCAGAAGGCTGGGGAGGGCGGGGAAGGAGATAACAGAGGGGCCTCGACCATGAGGGGCTGGGTGGGGGGACACCTGAGGGATGTGGTCCTGGAGAAGGCCTGTGTGAGAGCAGGCAAGGGGGCCAGAGGCTGTCAGGAGGGTGGTCTCCTCCTCACTTATCCCTAGTCCCCAGCGGAACTGGGGGGCAGAATCTGAAAGAGCATGGAGGCCTCATCTTGCCATTCTCTCTGGACCACCCACGCCTGCTCAAATAGAGGGACCCCCTCCCAAATTTGTTAGGAGTTTGCATGAGGCACACAGGCCTTCCATTCCCGGGCATGCCCGTGGTAGGACCGACCACACAAATGAGATCTGCCCCACGGTGCCCACAGACATCAGGGAACCAGAAGACCAAGGGCCTTATCACACCCAATCTCATGACTGGATATCCACCGCCCAGTGCCAGAGCACCAGAGGCTGATACTTTGGCAAGCAACCCGGGGAAGCTGGACTGAGGAACAGGCTCGGTTCACTTCTGTTGCCTTTGTGGTGTCTGCAGACATGGTGGGCAAAAGTCTGGATGGTGCATGGACCAATGGTGAGCTCTGCCTTTGGTGATGAAGGTCAGTGATGACCGAAGTGGGAGTGGGCTGGCCTTGGGGACCCAGGGAGGTGGATGGGGAAATATCCAGCCTCATTACCTTTGAGACCAGCTGGAGAACACAGGGAGATAGAAAGGAAACCATCCATGTTTATCTGCCTGGTGACCCAAACTAGCCAAGCTAACTGGCCATGCCAGGCTCCGGGGCCAGTAGACCAGGAAGAATTCCCAATCCTCCTGTCTGAGCTCCCTCCCCTGAACCTCTCAGTAAAGTAACACCAGAATGATAGCACTAGGTGTCAGGGGGGCAAGGGAAAGTCCTGGGCCAGAGGTCCTCGGGGGAGGGCACAGCTCAGAGGGGTGAGCTAAAGATGGGTAAGGATGCAGGTTCCTTCCCACCTGCGGTTGTCCAGGACAAAACCTATCCCTCTGTTTCACCCAGGGTGGACACTGGAGAGGTGGCGGTGGTGGTGCTTGGCCACGTGACCGCCTGCTCCCTCCCCACCTGACTCTTGCACCAGCCCTAGCTCCCTGGAGAGAGAGAGCTATCTTGCTTGTCCTCGTGGTCTACCCAGCTCTGGAACTGGCCTTTATACCATCTAGAAAAAAGATATCTCTTCTTTGGGCAAAGTTTGGGCCCTAGGCAGAACATAATGTGTATGACTTATATGGCAGGTCCCTCTGCAACGATGTCAGGATCACAGCAAGTGCTCAGCAAATAGTGCGACGCAGAGAGGAATGAACAATCCTTATCATTTCAAAAGCCACCCCTTCATGGTGTTATGTGGCAGAAAAGGCCACACTGTGCGCTTCCGGCATGATCTGGAGGGCAAGAGGGGAGAGTAGAGATGCTACCTGGGGCTAGGTAGTGGAGAAAAGCATTTCAGAGCCTCCTCTCTACTTCTCTGCTTAATGGCCTCATTAGTAACTGCCAAAGAATGAACACTTTGAAGGATCTCGCTCATTATAGCAGCTCCAAACTCCACATTTAAAGATGGTAAATTAATTTTTTTAATGTACTACTTTTTTTCTTTCCTTCCCTTCATCCCTCCCTCCTGCTTTGGCAGGGGATTGTTTATGGGATGTGCCAGATTGTTACAAATGGGGGAGAGAAACCCTTCCAAATTCCATGAGGGAAATAGTTCACAGATGTTGGTGGGGGTGGGGAAAGAACAGGTTTGTCAAAATCCAGAGATCCAGATGGGCCTGTGGGCAGGGAGGGGAGGGGGCGGTGAAACCACTCAGATGTGCTGGGGACTGCATCTCCCAGCCCACGAGCCTGACTGAGGAGGAGCCCAGGAACCTGAGATGGGTGGGGTCTCTCCCACCTCCAGCTTGCCAAGCCCCTCCCAGCCTGGAGCCTTCACCCTTCAACAACACTTCAGATCCCCCTCTAGGCCCTGTCACTTCATCCTCTAGGCTTCTCTGACCTCTTTGCTATGCACTGAGGGGTGAGGTGTGGGAAAACACGGGGAGGGGATAAACAGCAACTCCAAGTTCAAAGTCAGGAAATTCTCCTCCATTTCTCTCTGGCTCGGTGACCTTGTCCTCTGCTGCTGGTGGAGCTTGTATATTCTCTGGGTGTCTGGGCCTCACTTCAGAATGCTGAAATCGGAATCTGGGCGTCTGTGGGTTTGCAAGGCCAGTAGATTCTGGCGGGCAACAAGAGTGCGGAGCACTAATGTGCCCCCCAAGGCTGCCCTCCTCTGCTCTAGTTGGGCCAACGTCCTTACACCCTCTGCCCCATCAGGACGGCCCCTCCGCAGCACACTGCTCCTTGCTCATCCGTGCACAATGAACTCTCCCTTCAGTTGAATCCTTAAGCATCTCAAGTCAGAGAACACTCACTCTTGATGAAACTCTGCTGTACCATATTGCCTCATTATTCTGTTGATGCATACTGTACTCCTGCCTGGATTCTGATCTCCTCAGAGATCAGACCATGTCCTGCCCTCTTTCTGGGGCCCCCCTTTCATATGTCACAGATTGGGCACTAACTGGGGCTTATGGGGACTCTGTGACCTCATCACCTGCCCTCCAAGAAGGAGGACACAGCTCTCATCATCCTATTGCATTGCCTCTTACCGGTCTACTCTAGAGCTTTGGGCCCACCTTCCCTGCTCCAATGCAAGTCCACCCTCAAGACCAGAGAGAGGCCCTGCTTCAAGTCAACTGGGCAGTCTTATCACAGAACTGCCAAATTTTAGAGGAACGAAGTTATTCAAATTTTAGAGGAACAAAGAGAGAGTCCCTTGGATGGCAAGGAGATCAAACCAGTCAATCCTAAAGGAAAGTAGTCCTGAATATTCACTGAAAGGACGGATGCTGAAGCTGAAACTCCAATAGTGTGGCCACCTGATGCAAAGAAGTGACTCATTGGAAAAGACCCTGATGCAGGGAAAGATTGAAGGCAGGAAGGGAAGGGGACAACAGACGATGAGATGGTTGGATGGCGTCACTGACTCAACGGACCTGAGTTTGAATAAACTCTAGGAGTTGGTGATTGAATGGGAGGCCTGGCATGCTGCAGTCCATGAGGTCACAAAGAGTCGGACACGACTGAGCCTCTGGACTGAACTGAAAGTTATTCAAGGGCAGGTCTCCTGGATCTTCCTGTGTGCCAGAATTCAAGCAGGACCCAGGAGCTGTCCAAGGTTTTGGTCCTCTGTTCAAGGTGCTGACCACAGTTTTGGTATGCAGCAAGGGACCGAAGTGGTGGGTACTAACCAGTCTAGCAATCTATATACCTCCACTTTCTTCCTGGAAGAGTCTTTTCCTACTTAAAACTAAATATAATTATTCTTTTGGCATCTATTCCCTCACTTCTTTGGATCAAATTCACTCTCAAGTAATTTGCAGTTACTAGCCTCTCTTTTGGGGAAGGCAATGGCACCCCACTTCAGTACTCTTGCCTGGAAAATCCCATGGATGGAGGAGCCTGGTGGGCTGCAGTCCATGGGGTCTCGAAGAGTCGGACATGACTGAGCAACTTCACTTTCACTTTTCACTTTCATGCATTGGAGAAGGAAGTGGCAACCCACTCCAGTGTTCTTGCCTGGAGAATCCCAGGGACGAGGGAGCCTGGTGGGCTGCTGTCTATAGGGTCGCACAGAGTCGGACATGACTAAAGTGACGTAGCAGTGTAGCAGCCTCTCTCTACCTGGTTGGACAACTCATCTATTCTCTTCTCTGCCCTGAGGGAGTCCCAGAAATGGGTTTTTTTCTCACCCATCAGACCGACAAACATCCATGGATCTGTCTTCTCTCCCATCAGAAGCTCCCTGAAGGAGGGCAGGATCTCTCCCTGATCACATTTGGGGTTCCACCAAAGAACAGACAGAGGGAAGGAGCCACACATTCCCATGATAACAGTGAGGGCAGGGACAGGAAAGGATGAGGAGCATGCCGCATGGAAAAGGAAGGGGTACCAGATGTGCTTACCTGGGTAGGGGTGGATGCCATTGGCAAATACAGCTTCTGCAGCGGGTTGCCCATTGGCCTGTGGGGGGAGGCCGGTGAAGCCGTTCACCCCAATGGGGGACGGGATGCTAGGCACGGCTGGTGCAGTGATGCCTGGAGGGGTGCTGCCTCCTGGTTTTAGAAGTGATGCGGGGTGGAGGAGGGGAGACAGGCAGAACATAGGCAATGAAGGTCGACCCATGGATCTCCACCCCCTGGCTCCAAGGGCCCAGGCACAGACTTGGACCTCACACATCAACTCAGTCCGACCTGTGAATCAGGCCTTGGGTTATCTCCCTACGTGTAATGACTCTACTCATCCCAACTGTATCTATTCTTCAAATTGGAGTCCAAATCCCACCTTCCCTACAAAGACTTCCCTGACCACTGACTGCTCAACCTTGGAGCTGTAGCACATAGACCTCTAAGTGTCCATGACTTTGACCACAGTCGGTCTTCTTTTAGTCTTTTTCAATGGTTCGTGCTCACCCCAGCTAAGTCAGGATGGACTGGTCCTTGTTTGGCCACCAAGGGGATTCTAAGCTGTGGCTCTGCTCTCTGCTATCTTGACTGGTACACTGATGGGCTGATCTGCCTTCCCATGAGGGAGTCTTGATACTCAGGTGGAGGGAGTCTTAATTGTGGTACTTTCTTGCATTGAGGGAGAAAGGCCTTTGCAGAGTTCAGATTCAGCCCTTTTCATATACAAATTAGACACCCTGGCTACCTCCAGTTAAGACAATGGTGATGCTCACTATGGTGAGGGTAAAGTTGGGATTAGATGACAGCACACTGCCCTCCCTACACCAGGTGTGGGTGGCATCTTTATTGTACTGAGGCCCCAGAGGCTGGGAAGGGCCTTTCTCTTCATGTAGGAAGCAGGGAGGGTCTCTCTGTGGATAAGGACCTGAGGTCATCAGGAGTGTCTCCAGGTTGGGGGTCAGAGCTGTGGGGTGGTGCTCAAGTTGAGGCTAGAGATGGCACAGCCTTTTATAGTTTTTAGCTGGGAAAGGAATAGCTCCTGGATGTTGGGATACTGCTACTATGGCCTGAGAGCAGAAAGCCAAGGAAGCTTGATGAATGAGAGCCCAGTCCTTGGAGCTAGACAGGGATGCTTCACTTTGAAACTACTGGCATTTATCGCCACACATTTCTTTGAAGGGAGCTATCCTGTGCATCACAGGATATTTAGCAGCACCCCTGCTCTCTATCAGATTACAGTACTCCTTCAGTTGTGACAACCAACAATGTCTCAGGACATTGCCAGATATTTGGGGGCAAGGGGCAAAATTGCCCTGGTTGAGAATCATTGAACTGGATAACAGCCAAGATCCAATTAAAAACATGCTTTGTAAGTAGAGCTGTTTTCAACCCCTCTGTCCTTTAGCAACTCTTGCAGTTCTCTCTTGCTTGTTCTGTAGTTGTCTTGGAAAAAATCAGTGAATCTAGGTTGGGTTAAAGGAAAATGAAAAATGGGGCTCCTTCTGTGTTTGGACCAGGGACCAAACAGGGCCACAAAATGGGCAGGGCTCTTCTCCCTCAGACCTCAAAGGGAGATGTGTTCATGTCAATTTCTTTCCAGATCTCTATACTACAGATCAACATGAACTGCTTCTTGACATGGCTTAACAACTCAAGTGAAACTGTCGCCACTCTGAAATCGTATCTTGGACAGCAGGGGTTCCACATCCCATCTTCCCATGGGTCCTTAGGAATCAGAACATTTTTGAGACAAACTGCTCAAGGATGATGCCGGCACTGGGCCAAGACACCCAGTGCTCTTGACACAGGATGGTCCGTTTGTAGCTGAAATTCGCCAAACCAAGGTACCAACCTGGGGTCAGCAGTTTTCCTGCTAGGCCAGGCCTCGTGTTGGTACCTGCCCACTCACCTGAGGTTGGGGTCATGGGTGCGGCCGCCAGGCCGTTCATGTTGAGGGCCGCCATCTGCTGCATCTGGGCGGCGGCGAAGGCAGCCATGGGGTTCAGGTAGCCGCCCTGTGCGACTGATGCCATTAGGGCCGCTTGCTGCTGCATCAGCTGGGGCAGAGGGAGTGGAAAAAATATCATGCGCTTCCAGGAGGGCGGCCCTCCCCACCAAAGGGTCATTCAGCTCCTGTTCCTGGAGACCAGCTCCCAGGCCATCAACCCCAAGGAGCTCAGATGCATGTCTCTCCTCCCCTCTCTGACAGCCCTGAGCCTTCCCCACGCCTGCCCTAGTTCTCAGGGCTCCAAGTGTGCCAGCTAGTCCTGTGGTTCATGGAGATGTGACATCCAAAGCTCTAGAGACACCTGGATGAGCTGCTGTAGACCTAACTTGGCATGGTTTCTGTTCGGGATGGTCCTAACTTGGAGTCTGAAGGGTAGAGGCTACAGGAGCATCCTAAATGAAACCCAGAGGTGAACAGGGACTGGGAAGGTTGTTGAAACTGGCCATTTGGACACTGCTGAAGAAGCGAGGTGAGTTTGCAGTTTTAGAACCAGAGCCCTGGCCTACCTTAGTGCCACCGGTGTGGGGGTTGTGGTCACAAGTCCAGGAGGCAGCTGAAGGGCGATGCTGGCAGAGCCCACCCCCATGTGGGAGAATGGGCCTGAGAGGACCTCAGGGGAAGTGTGAGTGAGGGGCGCTTTGAAGCACCTCACAGGATCCCTGCTAGGAGTAACCAGAAGGTGGAAGGACACCCTTCCCTTGAGTGGTGGCAGGGGTGCGGTGGAGTCAGCAAGACCTCGAGCCTCTCTCCCTGTTCCAGTCAGCGCTTCCAAAGCTTTGCGGAGAACTGCCACCCCCGGCCCCGCCCCGCTGGGCCCCCACTTACTGCCTGTGCGTAGGCGCCGTAGGCCCCGAAGGGGATGGCCATGGGGTTGAACATGCCCATCTGGCCAGCCATCTGCTGCATTCGCCGCATTGTGCGCTCCTTATCGGTGTCGGCGAACTTGACCACCAGACTGGATGAGGCTCCCTGCAGCCGGGACTGCATGTGAGGCCCACCAGCCCTGCCCCATCCGCCTTGGCTCCCTGGCCTGGGCCCACCCGATCCTCTCCAGGGGTGCTTTGGGGGCGGGGGAGGGGAAGGGGGGCAGGGTAACAAGCACCAAGCCTCACCAAGGAGTCTGGAGCTTAACCCCCCCCGCAGGCTTTTTCTACCTAGGTGACCTTGGGCTACTTCTTTAGCATCTCTGGGCCTCAGTGTCCTTGTCTGAGAAATGGGATTGTTGGCAATGCCTTCCTGTCTCCTGGGGAGGCTGCGAGCGTGCTATGCGGGCACGCGTTTGGCACCGTGTGGCCCAGCGGGCGCCAGGACAGGCGGAGCCTTGAGGATGTGCGGGATGGCAGAGATGTCTGGGTCCCTCATTGCCCCGTCTCGCACTCCCCAGGGTCGGCCACACTCACCGGCATGGTCTGGCTGCCGTGCAGAGCATTGATGGCGGCTTGTGCCTCAGCGTGGGAGGAATACTTCACAAAGGCGCACCCTGGGGGGACGGGAGAGGCTGAGCCAAGGCAACTGGACCCAGAGAAAGGTCAGAGAGGCGCGAGGAGTGAAAGACGCAGGACGGGAGGGGCCGAGGGGAGAGGGCGCCTCCCAAAGGAAAGCAGAGTGAGACCCAGAAACACTGAGAGACACTGACAAACACAGAGCTACACAAGGAGGCAAAGACCTGGGCCGGCCAAGGATGTCAAAGGACCCTTAACTGGCCCCGTCCCAGTCTGGACTCGGATCGCGGCATTTCCTTCCTCCCAGGCCTGACAGCTTCGCACCTTCCAACCAGCCTTTCCCCGCTGGCCGGATCAGGCCAGCTCCAGGGGGCTCTGAACTCCGCTAACAGGCTGGCTAGAGATCCGCGGCTCGGCTCCTTCCACTTTCGCCCCGCCCCCACGCACCCTTGCTGTTGCCGTCGGGTCCGCGCAGAATGGTGCACTCCTCGATGTTCCCAAAGGCCTCGAAGAGGCGGCGCACATCGTCCTCAGACTGCTGCTTGTTGAGCATACCCACGAAGAGTTTTCTATCTTCTGGAACAAAATTAGGAGATGCTTACCCGGGCCAAGGACCCGGAGGCGCGGGGTCGGCCCGCGGAAGGAGGGAGGGTTACGGAGGGGAAGGGTGGGAGCTGGTAGGGGGCAGGAGGGAGGCTCACAGCCGGAGGGGAGGGATAACAGCGGGCGGGAGACGGGTGGGAGGCGGTGGGGCACCGCTCGAGGGGAGGAACGACCGGGCGAGGGGATGGACGAAGTGGGGTCGGGGGCAGAGCCAGAGGGGGAGGGGAGGCGGGAGGGGTTGCGTCTGAGCGGGGGCGGGATTGCAGCGACTCTGCCCCTTCCGGCTTCAGGGCCGGGCCAATGGGCTGGCTGCTCACCTGTGGTCCACAGGTCCTTTGGACAGCCCTCCATCCTCTTCCTCCCTCCTCTTAGACGCTCACTGTCTTCCTCAGCCACCCCCAGAGGCCAAAATTAATTCATAGCTGGCGGGTGGGCCACAGGGCCTGTGTACACGCTGTTCTCTCGGCCTGGAGTGGCCTCCACGTCACAAAGCTGAATCCTCTAATGCTAGGTCTCCGCTTAAATATTGCTTTCTCATCAAAACCCCTCTTTCTGCTTCTTCATTCTCTGTCTCAACCCGTCTCCTGGTGCAAAATTCCAAGGACAATTATTTACTGCTTTGCCTGAGTAGTGAGTTTCCGTCTAGCTCCCCATCCCTCAAAGTAGGCTCCCCTAGCGAAGAGGCTAGGCCTCTGCTGGAGGTGGTAGAGGCACCTAGTAGGCCCACAGGACTGAGCTATGGAATGAATGAATGCATGCCCTATGCCATTCAGAGGGGCAACCTCGTTTCTGCCTCACATGTTCTTACCTCCATCTGGTGCTCCCTCTTCTTGCCCCTTCCTATTCATTCTACAAAATTCAGTCCTGGGAGCTTTGGAGGACCCAGTTTCTGAAGACTGGGCTCCCTCAGCAGACACCGGCCCCCCCCCCCCCACACACAATTGTATTGAGTACCAAATGGTTTGTTGACAACACTCAGGTGTGAGCTTAGGGTGACAGGGATTGCATCAGGCTGTGTGGATTTGTAGTAGCTTATGACTGCAAAAATGTTTCCCATCCCACAGCTCCTATTGCCCTGTGACTTTCATTCCTCCCAGGGAGGTGGGATCTATGTTTCCTCCCCTTGAATCTGGGCTGGGCTGTGACCTTTCTAACCCATAAAGAATGGCAGAAGTAACACCAGATGCCTTTCAAGGCTGGGTCATAAAAAGGATCAGCTTCCACTCTCTGCTCTTTCAGGGATAGTTGCTCTGTGGTAACCAGTCACCATGCTGGGAAGAGCCCCTAACGCCCACACCAGGAGTCCACATGGAAAGGAGCCCAGGCCTCCAGCTGACAGCCAGCATTAGCCATCAGACATGGAGTGAATGAGTCCTGAGATGATTCCAGCCCCCAGCCCGTGAGTCTTCCAGCCGAGGCCCAGACAGCCTGGAGGAGAGACAGGCCTTCCAAGCTGTGCCCAGCCTGAATTCCTGACCCACAGAATCCATGAGTGTAGGAAATGGTTGTTTTACACCACTCCATTTGGGGCTGAATTGTTAAGTAGCCATAGTTTGCTGGAACGTGGTCCTTGTGGTGGCAGACACCCACTCAATGTTTGTTGACTATTCAGTGACTGACATGCACAGCCAAGGCTGCAGAAATGCACACTCCAAAACTGCAGACAGCCATGTGTTCATGGTTTCCATAGAATGCAAGGGCACTCCAGGCCCATGTCCTTCTGGATCCAGGGTGGTTGGTACCTCCTGCCCCAAAGCACTCCCATCACCCACACTGCCAGGAGAGTTCACGTAGAGATGGGGGCTGAGTGGGCTCTGGAGCAGAGGAAACCTCCAGGTCCTACCCGGCTTCACAGGCCACCCTAGAGTCCTCCTCTTCAGGAAGGCTGACTGCTGCCCTACTGTTACCCCCAGCCTGGAGCACTCAGCACTGGGCAAGCTCTCCCTGACAAGGTGCTCCTTCCGTGCCCACACGGTATCAGTGCCAGTTCCTGCCACCAGGGCTGGGTCAGGACACACCGGCTTGGACCTCCACCATCAGGGCGGGGGCTCCAGCCAAAGCTCTGAGCTTGGATTCCACTCTGATGCTCAGGCCCTGGCAGGGAGGGGCACACCCCCGCCCCATCTCCAGCCCTCACCAACTCCAAGCTGTGGACTGGGGGAAGCAGAGACTGGGGGCCTGAGCAGGAATGGAAGGGGTGAAACTGAGGAGGGACAGAAGGTGATGGATTCATACAGAAAAGGGAGGGACAGAAATGGCAGAGACAGAGGAAAAAGAATTAGAAATAAAGAGCTGAGAGAAGAGATGGACAGAAGGAAACGGCAGAGACAGAAGTGGGAGGGAGAGGGACTTAGGTTTAACTCCCAGAAGCACAGCGACATTTTACAGGAAGTAAACTGAGTTTTGAAGCCTTCAGTGGAGCCTTGAAACTCTGCTCCCAGGTCATCCCCGTCTTCCCCCTCTCCCAGCACCTTTTAAAGACTCTGAGTTAATGGGATTGCTGGGAAGACAAAGAAGTGGCAACCTCCCCTCTCCTCATGCCTGACCCTCCTGCTCAGACACTGCCTCCCAGGAAGGATCTGGGAGGGAAGAGAAGGCCCAGTCTCCTTGGAGCCAGACTCAGATGCTATGACTGCATCTCCTTTCCTGACTTCTGAATGTGTTCCTCTGGTTTCATTATGACAGCTTTCTGGTTGCATTAAAATTCATTAAATCCCCACATGCCTTTCTAGCCAGCCACTTCCCTTTTGCCAGGTTTTTTTTTTTCTGATTCCTTCTTTCCCTCCCTGAAGTCATCCCTTACGGCCGATTCTTGGTTCTCCATCCTACACCTGGGTCCTTCTTGTTTGAGGACTTTCTCAAGGTGAAGGGGGCCAGGCTCCCCCTCTTCCTGACTGTTCAAATCTCCCTTTCTGGAAGGCCACCAGGAACCAAAGAAACCTGGCTCTAGGCTCACTTCTGGGTGATCTTGGATTGACCCCACCCAGTGCAAAGGTTTATTTGTTTCTAGGTTCCTCTTTATTTCCAGTTGGCTTTGGCGCCGAGTGAGTGATTCTAAGGCTTGTCTTTCAGACCCGGGAGTGAAACGACTCTGATCGTCAGTCTCCTCTGGCCCAGGCCCGCTGGCTCACCCTCCTGCCCTGCTGCCTTTGGCTACATACTTCCTTACCCACCCCGGTGTCAGAAATGGGAATAACTAGGCCATCCTCATGTGGATGGTAGACTCCTAGGACGTGCGGCAGCATGAAGCAACCGGCAGTGGTAGAACGGTGATGACCCTGACCTGGGGTTCTCCATCCAAGAGGAAGAGGAAATGGAGCTCCGGGCCCTGACTCAAGGCGGCAGAGGTCACAGTGGGGGGCGGGGTGGGGGGAGACCAGAGGCTCCCGCGCCATCATCCACACAGACTCCCATGTCCCGGGCCAAGCTGAGAAGGCCCTGCCCAGAGTCCTCCTGCCTGAGGGAGGCAGGGTCCCTGGGTGACGGCGGGCTAACCCTCAGCCTGAGCCCATTTTGGGGTGTGAAGCTGTGGTTGCTTCTCTGAGGAGATGTTCGGGCAGATGCTGCTGGGACTGGGCCACAAAGGCCACCTTCACGGAAGGTCAAGTCAGGAAAGACCTCAGGGCCAGGATGTAAATGGACTGAAGGTATCCCTGAGTGTGAAGCCGCTGAGACAGTGTAGGAGTGGTCACCCCCAGGGACGCAGGAGGCTGGTCTCTAGCCTGGTAGGTGGCTGCAGTAAGCTCACCTTCCAACTTCCGGCACGTCTGTAGGGACTAGTCGGGGAAGGGGCAGTGGCAACACCCTGAGCGCTTCCTGGAGGAGGTGGCCTGGAGTTACAATGTCCATGGCTCAGGAGCAGGATCACCAGGCCCACAACAGAATGTGAGCAAAGACTGAAAGATGAGAGGGCCCTTTTCGGTTGTTCTTTTCATTTGCTTCCTGCCTGGGGGTCCGGGGGAGGGGTGGGGAAGTTTGGGCTTTGCTTTCCCAGGTGCCTCTGGCCTACCCTACACCCACCCTGCCCCCAACACACGTCTCCCAGTCCTCTGGTCTTGGGAGTCTTATTCCTTTTCCCAGAACCTCAATCTAATTCTGAGTTTCAGTTTCCCAGCCTACTAGCACTGGGGAACACCTCCAGGAAGCCTTAAGTGCCAGTGAAAAGGCAGAGGAATCTAGTTGCCAGGATCTCATGCTTGGGAAAGACCCTGATGCTGGGAAAGATTGAGGACAGGAGGATATGGGAACGACAGGATGAGATGGTCAGATGGTATCACCGACTCAGACAGACATGAGTTTGAGCAAACTCCAGGAGATAGTAAAGGACAAGGAAGCCTGGCACGCCACAGTCCGTGGAGTAGCAAAAAACTGGACACAACTTAGTGACTGGAAAGAAACAACATCATGCTTGCTCCAGCCCCTCCAGGAGGGAAACAATCTCCTCTCTCATCCACTCAGAATATCCGGGCAGAATGGGGCTCTGGCTGATAGGCTTTGCATTTTAAAAGGAGAGCCCAGAAAACAGAGAAGCAAGACTCTGATGGCAAGATGAGGACAGGCTCCTATGGGGCGTATTTCAGGATGGTGCCTCAGGGCTCCAGACGTGCGGGGAAGCATCTTGCTGGCTGTGCAGGATGAGGGACCCTGAGCGGGGCGGAGGCGGGTGGCAGCCGCAACACTTGACTTGCCAAATGCCAGCGCCCTGGCTCTAATGCTCCAATTCCGGTTTAATTTTCAAAATTTGATTCGCTCATTACCATCGGCATTAAACAATATTTCCTGCTTAAGGATAGATGGCTGCCGGGGCACCGTGGACGAGTGTTCAGATGGCTAATGCCTTTTATAGCTGCAATAGACTTTTACTGTTCTCTTCCCTGCAGCTGCCGAGGGAGGGTTTGTGGGGGACCTGAGCTGGAGAGAACCAGGAGGCCCAGGGCCACGGTGGGGAACATTGATTTTGAGTTCTGTGGCTA